GTTTTTTTAAAGGATACAAGGATATTAATTTTTAAAAATGTTCTGTGCTTCCTGATGGCTTTTTCTTCCCAAAGTACTCCATCTCTCTTTAATCCATATCTCAGTGGTTTTGACTCTTCCAAGGTTTCCAGTGGTTCACATGGGATCTGATCCATTCAAGGACAAGCGTAAATGACAATTTTCCCTAATGTTTTGAAGAATTTAGGGTTGATGGAAGCAGCATAACAAATTTTAGAGAAAATAGCAAATGGCATAAGAAACAGATGAATCTGTTCTTTGGCAGGAGTAACTTAGCCCTGAAATATGGGTTCTTAGTTCTAGAAAAATGAGTTAACAGAGGCAGTATTTTCTTTCCTGGTTACGTTACAGAAAACTAATTCCTGAGTTTAATAATACAGCATTCCTTTTTAATTAGGCTACTTTATATTTTACCTCCTAACCTAATTATTATTTTCAGGTAGTCAGAGGTGAAAATAGTAAGTAGTAGTTACTTTTTCAGAGAAAAATATCCATAAAAATGCCTCACATATCATAGGCTTAATAAATATTTACTGAAAAATGAAAGGAGAAATATTTATTTTTCTAACATACTGAATAAGCATTTGAAATAAAATGAATGAATGTTTTGGGATTATATCTCTACTGAACTCTCACCCTTGTTAATCTAAAATCCTAACCAAAGATCTTTGTAGTAACAAATAGATTAATTATAAATTTAATTTATTTTCCTCCCAGAGAGACTGGCTTACAAAACTTTCCTCATATTGAGGTGGTTCGGAAAAAAGAAGAGAGAAGAAAATTGCTCGGACACACATGTAAAGAATGTGAAATTGTAAGTACTACTATAAATACTGTTCAAATACATGTTTTGTATCTGGGAANATTTTTGCAACGAAAACCAGAAAAAATATGTCATGACTTTTTCGACAACCCAATAGTTCATAGAGTTCCCCTGTACCTTTCATTCAGCTTCCCCTCCTTACATTAACATCTTATATAACCATAAAGTATTCATCAGAACTTAGAAATTAATCTTGATTCGATGCTATAAATTCCTTTATAACATTTGCATAAAGTTTATAAAAGTTTTGAGAAACTTCTTTTTTAAGTAATAAATCATTGTTATAGAGTGAAAAGAGAAAGTTTTGCAGAAAACTCAGACCCATTTTCTGTTTGAGTGCTTTACCTTCCCAGACAAAATATTTAATGTAACTATATATAGTAATATGTATCAGACTTCTTAAGATCCATTTTATTAGAAGCAGTAGTTTATAATGTAGAGTAGCATCTAAAAGAAGAATATGCTAAGTGAAGCTCTTAAGTAGATGATCTGAATTGAAAATTAGTTAAAATTCTTGCTAAATATCTCATTTTCTTACTGTGTGTAAAATGGTCAGAATTTTGAATCTTGTGCAAACGTTATTTTATACTGGTTTAAATGAACACACCCTTCTACTATGATATAGTCTATTTTGATTATATTTTCCTTGTGCTTCCATCAGGTTTTTAAAATGACAGGCCTTAGAGTGAATGAGCCCCTAACCAAAGATATAGGACAGCATGCTCTGCTTGCTCAGACTATGGCAAAAACTTGATCAAGCAAATTTTGTAATAAAAATGTACAACTGTTCAATTCACCTTTTTCCCCCAAGAGAGCCTTTTGCAGATACTTCACACACACACACACACACAAAAAGATACTTCTTCTTAAGTTACGTTTCAAACTGGTAATCCCAGACTTCCTTCTCACTTAACTTTTGTGGTGATGCTGCACTGTTCTTTGGAACTCTGACAACATCTTTTTTCTAGTGTATGCCCAAGACTCTGTTTTTCTGTCTCACACTCATTTTCTCTTATGGTTTTTATTAACCAACTCTGAAAATATGATTCCAAATCGCATCTCTTGTTTGACTTTTGATGAATCCTAGTCCTGCATTTCTTTTATTTCTTTTCTTTTTTTTTTTTATTTTTATTTTAAGCTCAGCCATCCTGCCACTTGTTGGCAGCTCAGCAGCTGCTCAGCTCGGGCCAGGACTCAAACCGCTGTTGCTCAGAGCTCAAATTCTTGAGCGAGCTCTTAACTAACTGAGCTACTCAGCCGGCCCCTACATTTCTTACTATTGCTACATTTGTGTCTCTTCAGCAGCTGAAACTTAATATATTTAAGCCAAGTTCCGTTTATTTCCTACCAGTAACTTTCAGACATTTTTATATTTCTCAGTCACCCAGGCATATAGTTTAGGATTTACTGTCCTTTTTTTTTTTCATTTTCTCAACCCTCATATCACAAAGTTTTACAAAATCTTCATAGGAATAAACAGGTTTCAGGGAGGACACCGAAAGCTCAGTTCTGGACATGTTAATATTAACTAGACTGGACAGTCAAATGGAGGTATTTAGAAGGTAGTTGAAGTTGAGTTTAGACAAGAAATCCACAATAAACGACTTGGGGGATAGGAAGGCAACAGCAATAGATGGTGCCTAAAGCCAGTGAAACTGAATGAGATCACCAAAGCATTGAATATAAATAGGACAGAGAAATATGTCCAGTTCTGACCTCTGGGGTATGGCAATGTTGAAAGGTTAAAGAAACAAAGGAGAACCAGCAAAGGGCATTGGGAAGGAGCTGCAGCCTGTGAAGCAGGAGGGAAACTGGAGGACCTGGTGTTCTGGAAGCCAAGGGAAGATGCCGTTTCTGCATATTCGTTGCTCCCAGCCTCACCCTCTCTCTTCTGAACCCCGGACTTGAACCCCACTACCTACTTGACATCTTTCTTATAAGCCCTCTGAACTTCTGTGTTCAAATTAGAAATATTTATTTTTCTATCCAGATTTGATCTTCCCTGCCGTTCAGGTCTCATTAAACCTCAGTATCAATCCTCCCCGTTACTAGATAGAAATGTGAGAATCATACTCGACTTTCTTTCCCCTCACCTTCATGCCCAGTGTATTACCCTCGCAGCCCTACCTTCAAAGTACATTTCATGACACGGCATTCCATCTCTGTCGCCATCACTGTTGTCTAAACCACTCCTCTCTCTACCTTTTCTATCGCAGGCCTCCTAACTAGTCTTTTTATGCCAGTTATTTTTCCTCTCGAGTTCAGTCTCTACAGAGAATCAAAAGTGGTTTATTTTAAATGTAAGTTGGATTGTATTATCTTCTTGCTTAAAAGCCCGTCAGTGTAAACAATGTTTGAATGGCCAGTCAGCACACGCAAAGATGCTCAGCATCACTGGACATCAGGGACGGAGCGGCCACTTCACACCCACTGAAGTGGTTAAAAAGACTGACAATACCTAGCATTAGCAGGAGTGGAGCACAGCTGGGACACTCAATGCAGGTGGGAGTATAAAATTGCAGTTTGGAAAACAGTTCAGCAGGGTTTTTTAACAGTTTTTTTGAGGTTGGTCAATTTTTTGTGAAGTTAAGCATACACCTATCCTGTGACCCAGCAATTTCTCCTAGGTATACACATCCAAGAAAAATGAAAACATGTTCACAGAAAGACGTGTTCAAGAATGTCATAGCAGTGCTATTTGTAATAGCTCAAAACTGGAAACAACCCAAATGTCCACCAACAGACTAATAAATATAAAATGTGGTATATAATAGAATACTACTCAACCAAAAGGAGGGAACTACGAACTCAGTAACGTGGATGAATCTCCAGAACTTACTGAGCTAGAAAAACGCAAGAGATAAAAAAGAATACATATTATATAATCCCATTAATATGAAGTTCTAAAACAGTCATGACTAAGCAATGGTGATAAAAATCAAGTCAGTGATTGTAGGGGAGGGGAGGGACATGAGAGAACATTCTTGTGCATGAGAAACACTGAAATAGGAGGCAACGTTCAGGGGTGATGGAAATGTACTCTGTCTAGATTTAGTTAGCAGCTACACTGCAATATACATTTGTTAAAACTCATCATAGTAACTTAAAATCAGTGTATTTTGCTTGTAAATTATACCTTAATAAAGTAGATTCTTTTTAAAAGTCATCAGTGGTTTCCTGTTGCACTTACAGTAAAATTCACACTCCTTTTGGCCTCCAAAGTCCATCATGATCTGGTACGTTCCCACCTCTCCAGTGACATCTACCCCAATACCTCCCTTTCCTAGCTAAATCTCAACCACACCGGCCTTCTCTTAGTTTTTATAACAGACCAAACTTTTCTTTCTCAGGACCTTTACCTAAAATAGTCCCCACTCTCCCTCTTCTCATAGGTGACTTCTTATATGTTCATCAGTTATCACCTTACATGTTCTTCCTGATAAGCCTTAACTGTCTGCTCATTTAATGTTTAACTGTCTGCCTGCTTAATGTCTGTTTCCTCTCACTACATGTAAACTCCGTGAAGACAGGAGACCTGGTCTCTCTCGTTCTACACTTTATGTACTTAGCACAATGCTTCGTAAATTTTGATTATTTGAATAGATGATAGCAGTTGTCTTTTTGAGTCTAGACAACTTAGGATGTAGGTCCATGAGTGCTAGTTCTTATTTGTCACCAGTTTTCAAATAAAATTATTTAATCTCTTCATTTTTTAGTTATAACCTAGGTAAAAGATACATTATAAAAATCAACAGGGCTAATAAGTGAAACATTTTAAAAGCTGTCTTGTTATTGTTGTTTGGTGCCAAATGATGATGAGCATCTGAGTAGTTCTTTTAAAATCTAAAATACTTCAATAAAAGTCTAGAGAGAGAGAGAGAGACTTCCATATATAGTGTTTTTAAGTCTAAAATACTTTTATGCATATGATTTTTATCTCTTTAGTAACTTTGAGGTGAGATAATCAGCGCTGTCCTCATTATGGAGATGAAAAAGAAAGGGAAAAATTAGTTACAGAAAATTTAAACAAGTTGCCCAGGGGCCTAGGGTATGAAACGCAATAAAAATGGAAATTTTGGTACCTGTCCTTTTTTTCTAAAACTAATTATTTCTCAGTAAGTTCTGCATTCAGTTTGTGATACGCTTGTTTTATTTATAGCTCATGGCGATAAACAAGATAAAGTCAAACAGAAAGCATTTATGGAGCCATATTTTAAAGATAATGAAAGGTAAGTTGCTCTTGATTAATACCAGCAATGTGATTGGCAGTAAAACAGCTATCTTTTTCAGAGTGTCTCTGAATGGTTAAAATTGCTATTTTGGTTAAAATAGAATGCACATCGTTTACTTTATAACCATAATAAAAATGGAACTCAAACTTCATAAAAATGACAAATTTTACAAATACAGAAATTTTTAACACCATTTCCCTTTTTTTTAAACAATGGTGATAGCTATTTTCTCTGCTTTATAACAAATATTTTATTGTGAACTTTGGGGAATTTTTTTAATTGTATAAATACATATAACTTTTATATATTGGGTTGTCAGAAAAGTCATGACGTATTTTTGCAACGAAAAACAGAAAACATATGTCATGACTTTTCCGACAACCCAATAGTATAAGACTTTAGGTAGCAAACCTTGGGTTGTGCTTCAGAATTATTTTATGAGGATTTTTAAACCTTTAAAAAAAAACAAAAACTTTAAGCATCTTGATTTGAACCATAATGCCACATTCTGCCTTTTATAAAAAGATTGTAAATTCTGTAACTTTCAGTCATGTACTAGTCATTCTAGAAGTGAATTAAGACATAGTAATTCATTCCAAAGTTCTTTTATGCTTTTTTTTTTCTTTAAGTTACAATGTTGGCAAATTGAGTCACTCAGTAAGCAAAGTTATACTGTATACTTCTGTTTCTGTTGAGAGTTTTAGGAATCTGGCAGGCCAAGATAAAGTTTTTTGATGCTTGTTAGACTCTAATAGATAAGAGCTGTCATTTTGTTGCTAAATGATTCTTTTTCTTTATCAGTTTTGAAAGAAATAGTACTCTAGCATCTCAAATGTGATTAGGGAGTTTTTTGTTTAAGTAACATGGATTTAAATATATTTGATATGTTTCAATTCTTTGCAGTTATTATCCTTATTGATACTCACATTGTCCCATCTTTGCTCAGTGGAAGCCTCTTTGAATGGATATTACCCTAGTCTTTCATAACTTTCTTGCTACTGGTATAAGACATTCTTGGCTCTTGTACACTTCCTGCCATACACCTGGAATCTGCCATTTCTCCAGGGGCCTTAGTTTCTTTTAGTGAGAAATGGTGTTTAGGCCATAGTCTGGCTGCTAGGGTTGCTCATTGCAGCAGTTAGTCATCGTTTCTAGACCTCTGAGGTGGACAGAGTTCAAAATAAAGTTTCTGTTTCATTTTGTTTTTTTCAGATAAACTACGCTTGTTTATACTGATAGCACCAATTCAAGTTTAGGACTACAGGGATTTTTTTGGGTTTTGTTTTTTGTTTTTTTAAGATTTTATGGGGGAATCGGGGAAGGGGGACAGACAAGTTGCTGTCCTTTAGTTCTTCAGTCTAGTTGTGGAGGACGTCGCTTCACTGGCCCATGTTGGTATTGTGATCATTGCACTCTTCCCAGGTGAGGCAGATCGGTCACTGGCCTCTGGACAGCCGCTCATGGCGGCTCTTGGCGGCTCACGCTGGTAGCCAGCCACACACGGTAGCTTACGGCAGCCCACTGCAGCCTACGCCGTTGTCGGTGACTCACGGAGGCCAGCTCCAGGTCGAGCTGTTGTTCACCATCTTAGCTGTAGAGGATAGTGTCACTGGCCCTCATGTTGGATCCAAACCGGGGCCCTACTGCTCAGAGCTGGCATCCCAAGCCAGCTCTTAACCAATGCACCACTCGGCCGGCCCAGGACTCAGGTTTTTTATATCTCTCCTTTGTCACATCTATATCTACTTGCCCAACTACTAAAAATTTCACTTCTCAGTGCCATCAACATCATTCCTCATTTAATTTATTCTACAATACACACATAAAACAATCTCAGAATAATACAAACTATTACCAATAATGTGATTTATGAAAATGGTATAAGACTTTTTTTATGTGTGTTTTTGTCCTTAAGATGTAGCCTGTAAGAAATATACAGTCAGATCACTATGTTTTAAGGTCACTTAGGATTATTATTTTCTATGTAGTTATACCATCAATTCAGTACCCGGGTTTGTTTTATTTTGGTTTTGATTTTTCAGGAATATTTTTTCTTCTTATCTTTAATTCCTTTTTAAAATTAGGTAAATTATGTACATGGTACCAGAGACTACAAATAAGTTATATTCAGATAAGTCTAACTTCTTATCTGTTAACTTCCTATTGCTAAAGGTAACCATTTGTTAAAAGTTTATGGTTTTCCATATATTTAAAAAAATTAACACCAAAATTTTATCTACATCTATTTATATAGATGTAGATAATTACACTCTCTTCCCTTGGACAAATGGTAGAATGCTTTATATGCTTTTCTCTACTTTGCTTTTTTCATTTAACTATATATCCTGGAAATCACTCATAATAGTATATGGTGCTTTCCTTATTTCTATTTTTAATTTCATAGTACTTCATTGTTTGTACCATAGTTTATTCCCAGCAAGGGACATTTATTTGGGTTGGTTACAGTTATGCTATCATGCATAATGCTGCAGTGAATAGTCTGCAGGTGCATTCTCTTTTCAATTTTTTTGCCTGTGCATTTTTGGGATACATTTCTAGAAGTAAGATTGCAGACTAAAGACTGTCATTTCACATGTTTCATATTAGAGGTTTGCTAACTTTTTAAAAGAATATGAACAGTTTTATTTATAAACCATTTAGATAGGTGGAGATGCAGGAGGTGGATAAAGGTGTGGGAGTTAGTGGTTCCTTTCCGCACTGAGAATAGTAGCCAACCCTGGAAGTGAGTTGTGTTGTGTCAGGGATGAGAAGCTTAGTAACCTTTTAGGGGATGCCTTGAGGTCTACTACAGATGTCAGTCTGCTGGCAGATTCCATGCCGCATTACAGTCCACACAGAAACAGAATAGATAGGGATACGGCCAAATTGCATTCTACATAGGCTTAAGGTTCCATAACTGTTTGACAAAAAGTATAGTTATGACAATATTTTTTTTTTTTTTTATTTTATTTTTTAGCTGAGCCATCCTGCCATCTGTTGGTAGCTCAGCTTGGGCCGGGAATCAAACGGCTGTTGCTCAGAGCTC